TCCTGGAGCATGAACAAAGGCTCAAGAATCAAACAGCAGGGAAGAAAATCCTGGCATTAGGTGTTTACAGTTTTAAAACACAGAGGTAAATAGAAGATTTCAGTGGACTCTGTGTTCCCACCACACTCAAAGAAGCTAATTTGTAGGTACAGAACATGTGTATGTCTTACACTTCATTAAAAACACCAATAAAACAGATAATATCCCTGTGGAATAATATTAGATCTAATCCCACAGGATAGTCCTAACAGAGTGATATTGTATGACTTCAGAACTCCACTCTCACTAATAGACAAACAAACAAATAAATACCAACAACAAAACCACAAACTGAACAGACACTGAAGTTCTAAAATCAAATGACACATCATAATGAAATGGACCTAATAGACATAGACAGATCATCTCACCCAAACACTGAAGAATACACATTCCTCCCAGAAGCCCATGGCACATTATAATTTACTGCTGTATATTAGGACACAAGGCAAGTCTCAACAGAAAATGTACAGAGAACTCTTTTTTTTCTCAATTTTTGTATACATATGGGTCCTTACAAGAGAATAGTGAAACCTGAGTAAGTTATAAAAAAACAAATTTTCCCCAAATGTCTGGAAGCTGAGAAGTCCCTGATAAATATTCTGGAAGATTCTGTAGATGAGGAGACTCAACCTTCTCAGTGATTGGGGAATTTCTTTTCTATTGATAAATTCTCTCATAGGTGAAGGTACCAGGGATAGCAATCCCACTCATGGGTGTGACCCACATATAAATTAATGTTAGCACAAATCCCCCCATTTTCATGCTATTACACTGTGGATTAGGCTTCAAAGCACATATTTTGTAGGAAAAACACATTCAGATTTAGGGTTATTTTACCATGTTGTCTAAACAAAATTATTCCATTATGTTAACAATAATAATGGCAGTTTTATTTAAGCTTGGAAAGGATCAGTAGTTTTATTAATGGTTAGGGGTATGTGTGATGAGGGATTATCTTTCTGTATGCTGTGAATATATGTTGCTCTGATTGGTTGATAAATAAAGCCTTTTGGCCTATGGCAAGGCAGCTTAGAGGCAGGCAGAAAATTCAAACAGATGGAGAGGAAGAAAAAAGACAGAGCAGAGGAGATACTACCAGCCACCATCATGAGAAACAAGATGTAAAATTACTGGTAAGCCACAAGCCATATGGCAAAGTATAGGTTTATAGAAATGGGTTAAATTAAGATATAAGAACCAGATAGCAAGGAGCCTGCTATGGCCATAATTTAAAAATAACATAAGCCTGTGAATGCTTATTTGGGACCCAGTACTTGTGGGGTGGGAGAGATTCTGCAGGACTGGAGAAAACTTCTGGCTACAATTGGCACTCAGACATGGTGGCAACAGTTCCCAACTAAAACCTGAGAAAGCTTTAAAAAAAAGATTCTAAAATGGAACTTAAAAACAGCTTCCTAGTTATGTCTCTCAGGCAAGCCCTGAGCTACAGTATGGCGGGTTCAAAATGGCGTGTGGGCTTGACCTGAAGCATGGTGGATTCCCACTGCTATACACAGAGGCGTCTCTGAGCTACACAGTATGCTGCATGGTAGATATAGCCTTTGCTAGTACAAAAAAAAAGGAAAGAAAGAAAAGGTTTCTGGGTTACATGCTTCTGGAAGGAAGCATAGACCCATTGTCTCCCAGAGTCGGAGGTGGCAGTGAAAGGTGAAAGAAGTTCTGCCAGGTTGGAAAGCTGAGGAGGGCTGAGCCAGCAGGCAAAGCTGCCATTTCAATCCTAGGAATACTGCAGTGTAAAGCAATAGATTCACAATAAAACAGATTCAGATAAAAATAAACCTCTAAACAGTTTACAATGTCTGTGTGAAAATATACGTAGGCTTGGAAGAGAGAATAAAAGGAATATAGGCAGTTATATAAAGAAATGAGAGTTTTTTTTAATAAAGTTTTTAAAGAGACAGTAAAAGTAATATAAAAGTTATGCCACGTAAAGATGAAAATCACACCGTGTATTATATTGCCTTTGGGATTTTTAACTGAAGAAAGACATTTGGTTGTAAAAGTTTTTGAGTTAAGTCAATACATATATTTTAAAGGTATCTGGACTTCAAAGTTTATGTCTAAGAATATGTTGCTTTGGAAAAGAGGTTCTGCTCTTGTTTCCACAGAAGAAGAGACCCTATGGATTGCTTCCAGGCTTATATGGTTTGATCAGCCAAGAGCCTCTGAAAAGTCTCCAATGACACCATGGCCCAGATGATCCAACATCCACAATAGCTTCAAGGCAACTGGCCCAGACAATGCATCCTCACAGGCTATTATAGTCATGACTTGACCATGATTCTTAATTTTCTCAGGATCCCTATAAGATTGTAAGCACTCTTATCCAGCAGTATGTAGTATGAAAAGCTATGCCCAAATTGCCAAAATATTGTTTATAAGTGTTCATTTTTATTTAAGAAGGGTTGATTGTAATACAACCTCTTTCTTAAAAAAAGGGAGGATAGTATATATATATATATATATATATATATATATATATACACACACATACATATATATATGATAGGAAAAAAGGGTAGAATATTGAACCTACTTTTAAAGAACAACTTGTTTGAAATGTTTTACAATGCTATGGATTTTAGTTTATTGATACAAATTTAATTTTGTTATACTGTATGTATATTTCTACTCTTGTTTAAAGTATTTTTTTGTGCAACTAATTTGAAATTGTAGTATATAGTTGAGAAATACAGATTAATGATTAGTCATCTATGATACTCGAACTTATAGTCATGTTAGTTAAGTTTTCTAGGTATACATTGTGGTGGAATTGTGTTCCCCGAAATATTGTGCACACTAATAAACTTATCTGGGGTCAGAGACAGAACAGCCACAATATTAAACATAGAGGACAGGCAGTGGTAGCACACGCCTTTAATCCTAGCGTTCCAGAGGCAGAAATCCATGTGTTCAAGGATACAGTCAAGCATGGTGACTCATGCCTTTAATCCCAAAAAGTAAGCCTTTAATCCCAGGGAATGATGGTAGAAGGCAGAAAGATATATAAGGCGTGAGGACCAGGAATTAGAAGCATTTGGCCTGGTTAAGCATTTAGGCTTCTAGTAACAGTTCAGCTGAGACCCATTCTGGATGAGGACTCAGCGGCCTCCAGTCTGAGAAAACAAGACCAGGTAAAGATCCAGCAAGTGGGGTAGCTATGGCTTGTCCTGGTTCTCTGATCTTCCAATTCACCCCAATACCTGGCTCAGGTTTGATTTTATTAATGAGAACTTTTAAGGTTCATGCTACAATACATAGATATATTTCAATTAGGTAGATAATCTTCAAACACTTCAAAGACCTATAGACAATGGCATTTAAAATGTTTTAAAATCTTAGGCTTTCTAGACAGTGAGACATGTCTGCTCCCTTCATCACCGATTTATTTCAAAGAGAAAGATGGGCATCGAGGACACTCTTTATGGAGTTTTTCTTCTTCTTGGCAATGACAGCCATTTGGGTGAGAAACTGTTTTTGCCTGGACTGCTTAACAAAATGTCGTATCAACTGGACATGTGGGACCTATAGGAAGGTGACCACTAAACTTTGCAAGGTAAGATGGTCCTTCAGGTTCCTCTTTGCAGAAGAAACTGCCAGACATTCTATAGAACACACAGACAAGTGAATAAAAATCTCTATGCCTATAGGCTGAAGATTGATGCCCCAATGTTACAGAGGAACTTTGGATGACTGTCCAGACATCAGCTGTCTCTGCCATTCTAGATTTTAGGAAGTTGCTTAAAATGTTCTTCCTGTTTACTTTGGTAATATTATATCATTCTGAGGTCTTTGATGTAGGTGAAGACTAGATATAATTTTCCTTAGTTATGATAAAAGATAAATTAGATATGAAACTTTAGACTCACAAATATAGAACAGATAGAATATTCTCTTTAATTTTGCCAAATACAAAGAGACTAGATATAATTCTTGCATGATAATTATTTTGTTATATGTAAATTTACTAGGTTAAATGTCAAACCTTCCTTTTGATTAGATAGAACAGGGGAAATGATGAGGGAGTATCTTTCTCTATGCTGTGAAAATATGTTGCTCTGATTGGTTGATAAATAAAGCCATTTGGCCTATGGCAAGGCAGCTTAGAGGCAGGCAGAAAATCCAAACAGATGGAGAAGAAGGAAAAAGACAGAGCAGAGGAGATACTGTCAGCAGCTGCCATGATAAGCAAGATATAAAAGTACTGGTAAGCCATAAGCCATGTGACAAAGAATAGATTTATAGAAATGGGTTAATTTAAGATGTAAGAGCTAGATAGCAAGAAGCCTGCCATGGCCCTAGTTTAAAAATAATATAAGCCTGTATATGTTTATTTGGGACCAAGTGGTTGCAGGATGTGGGTGGGAAAGATTCTGCAGGACTGTAGAAAACTTCTGGCTACGTGTATGTGTATGTGTGTGTGTGTGTGTGTGTGTGTGTGTGTGTGTGTGTGTGTGTGTGTGTGTGTGTGTGTGTGTGTGTGTGTGTGTGTGTGTGTGTGTGTGTGAGAGAGAGAGAGAGAGAGAGTTATTTACTTATAATTTTTCTCATTTATTATTTACAAATATACTAAGAAATAACATAGTCCTTGAAATTCAGAGAAAATAATTCTTGTTAGTAAACCACCTAATCTAATCATATATCTCATGTAAACTCAAGGCTAACATACATAAAAATTATCCTAGATCATGATCTTTGCCCCACATAATTTGAGAAAACTAAGCATAAGAAAGAATTCGAGTAGTAGAGGTAATAATTTCTCAAAACTGGTGAAAAATAAATTTTAGTATAAGAAGTAAAAATCCTTCAAATTTCAAGTTATTCTATTCTGAGTATTTTGAGATGATAATAGATTTTATATGTGTGTGTATATATATATGTGAAAGTTTTTTTCATAATAATACATAAAATTAAATCAAATTTTATCTATCCTAAACGTTTTATATGATATGGGTAGCAATTAAAGCAGCAGCCACTTTCTCTGAAATTAAGTACATTGCAAGACTTTCCTTAACTAACACAAAATTTGGTACAGTGAGATATGTTTGTATATTTACATGTCCCCAAAGTGTGAACCTACTCAGTTCTTCTGAGCTAAATTCAAATGGATCTAAAGAGTTTTAAATTTCATTGTGTATCCTTTGTCATTGCCAGAGTTTTAAATTAAGAAGTAGTTTCCATTGTAATGTTACATTCTGCTCAGAAAACCCATATCTCCGAAACAAAATGTCAAGTTAATCTGCAGGATCCATTTTCAGTTTATTCACGATTATGGGACCACCTTCTGTTCTGAAGATTCCCAAGGCTGGTGCAGCATAATCATCACTGGGAAAGAGATGTACATCTCTTACAGATGGATTTATTTATGGATCTTTTGTTGGCATATAGATCTAACTTCCTCCGGGGACAGACACAAATCTCTATAATGCCCCCACATGAACAATTTTGACTTTGATGTTCAAACTTATCCAACAAACATATAAAAATCACAAATAATTGAACGATTCCCTGCTGATTTCACAGCTGTGCTACAAGAGCTGAAAACTGTGAATTACTGCAGCGATTGAAAGCAGGAACTACAGAGTATCACCTACATCCCCGAGTAAGACTCTCATTTGTAAATATGAGCTTGTGTTTATGCATGCAAAATAACTTTTATTCCAGAAAGCATTCTTCTTCAGGTGTAAAATATCTTTCAGAAACAAGTCATAAAATCTTCAAAGGCCGTGCTCTCTTATAGAATTGAACTAACAGCATCGAATTAGCATAAGTACACTGTTCTCTTTGCTATCAGGTCATGTATTCACAATTGCTTATGCTTCTCTCTCAAATACTATTCTCATATTGATTCGGATATTACAGAGCATATATATTTTGGGAGAATTATGGTAAGAAACAATTATATATATATATATTGGTACCTCTATTTAATTGACATTACCTGATACTAATGCTAATGCTATACTAGACCTGGAAAGTTCCAAAATAGAAGCAGTTTCCATGATAATGACTGAACTTAAAATATATCCTATAAGTTAATTTGGCATCTTCTTTTAAAACATTGAACCTAGGCCAGTCAGATGGCTAGGAGGTTAAAGACACTAACTACCAAGCCTGGTGACCTAGTTTAAATTCCTGGGACGCACATGCTGGCAGAGAGAAGTGACTGTGGAAAGTTGTCTTCTTACCTCAGCCCAGTCCCCACAGCATGCACAGCTTTTCTGTGTGCATCTTGGTTGTGTTTTCACCTCTAAATGCACACCTTGCCACATGCACACGTGCACGCACACACACACACACACACACACACACACACACACACACACACACTTGTACAGCACACACATAAGCAATTTTTAAAATGCAATTATTTACTGTTCACTCATTTGCTGTCATTCAGACATCACCTTTAATCTGAACTGAGCTCTAGGGGCTGGGAAGACGCCTCGGGGCTGAGAATGCTGACTGCTCTTCCCGAGGACAGGATTGGCTTCTCAGTGTCCCATCTGTAACTCCAGCTCCAGGAAGTTCCTCACTCTCTTCTGACCAGAGAAATCATCAAAAATGCACAGTAAAACACCCATACACGTGACAAAATTATTTAAAAAAAAATTAAAGATTGGCTGAACTTTGGAACATTTTGGTTTTAGTTATCCTTCCTATGCTCTGTTATCCCTGGGTATTTCAGTTGGAGTTATTGGAAAATGTTCCCAAATGCATTTGTCATTTGGGAAAATATGAAAAATATGGGGAAATATAAAAACAGGAGAAAAAAATCATATTTTGTTTCACTACTTCTTATGGCCAGCTGAGTGGATTCTACATATTTTTACATTAGCATTCTTCAATTTATGAATAAAAACATGATCCAACAAAAGAATATTTAATCAATGAGGATTAGTAACAACTGAGAGTAAATTAAGAATGTAGTAGTTTTCTCTTAGAAATCTTCAGGCACATGGGAGAGTTTATTTATGTATGTAGCTCAAGGAATGGAGACTTTGGTGCCAAACTCACATTTCTTAATTTCCTTCAGTCCATTGTTTGGTGAACATGTGGTTAAATATTTTTAAAAACCTGTAGCAGAGTCTACAAATTGTAATGTTATAATGTTATAGAAGCAATATCACAGTCCTGTTCTGTGGAAGGGTCAACATATTTTGGTCAGGGAGTTAAATGGAAATGGTCATTAAAAGGGAATATTTACAACAGACGGTCCCATGTTCCATGCCTTCTCTCTCATTTATTTACTATTTTACATATAGAACACTGACATCGACATCCAGTTGATTGCATTCCTCGGGAGAGGATTTGCCCTGGAGGAGGTGGAAATGGGGGGTAGGCTGGGGGTAAGAGGAGGGTATGGGAGCGGGGAGAATAGAGGAACCCATGGCTGATATGTAGAACTGAATGGTATTGTAAAATAAAAAAAATAAAAATAAAACACCGACATCTTGCAGGATTACACTAGACCACGAGTGATGCCTACATTAAGAGATATGAGGATGATTTAAAAAAAGGAAGAATATCAGATTCTTGGGGTAAAGGAGGCCTAATCTAAGGTGGCTCTTAGATTTTCCACCACTTATATGAATGGATAATAAACTTCCGCTTTGGTAATATTTATTTCAGATATCCCTGTCTGTTTGACAGTCATTTTAACCATATGACAGAAATAATTTCTAGGAAAAGCAATGGGTACATTTTTTCCTGTCCACTCAAAATTTTATATCATTGGATAAATATTTCTTCAGATTCCCATCTTCAATTTTCAGAAAAATGAAATCTTTATCATTAAAAATAATTATTTATTATAATTCCAGAATAAAAATCTTCTTGTGTTCTGAAAATAGCTAATCTCTACCTTGTATTTTTTTTGTAAGATTTATTAACTCTTTTTTGAAATTGCATGTATTTTTATAGTCCATTGTGGTTACTGTTACTATTCAGCTTCTTATATCTGCTTTCATCTCTATTATCTTTACCACACACGTCTTCTGCCCATATTCATATCTTTTATTTCAGTGACCCAATGAGTTCCTATGTGGCCCCGGGTTTGAAGCTATCCATGAAAGACTGGTAGGTTGGTGATGGAGGACAGAACTAAAACAATGACTGCCCCTTCTCCAGGTCCCATCGGCAGACAAACTCAGCCGTATATGGCAGAAAATAAGTTAAAAACAACAACAAAAACTATGCATCTATTTTTATATGACATTCTCTAAGGTAATGAGAATATTGAACTATTGGGTTAGAAGAAAAATAGACAATATTTGACAATAACTCTCTCAGCAGTGAAATAACCCCATCTAATTAACTAAAATTAAATTTTATGAAAAAGACAAATGATTATAGAATGAATACATCTTTCATAAATGTTTAGTTTGAAAACAAATTAAAATAATCACTAAATGGATTGAAGAAAATAGAAGACATTAAATATTTTGTCATATATTTTGGTACAGAAATTCTTGGTGTATGTCTTATAAAAATTGTCACGTCTGGACAGAAAGCTGGAATAGTATAGTTATTTCCATCACTAATGATTATAAACATTTGAAAGAAGTAACTGCACAGAGAATAGAAAAGGTATACTATCTATAAGAAATAGAATTATTTTATTCACCTATTTTTTCCAGTCTCAGCCTACACTTACAGTCCCTCATTCCCCGCCCCATCACTCACCCTGCTCCCACTTCCTAAGATCCTGCTTTTCTGTCTACATCCAGAAAATGGCAAGTATCTCATGAGTATCAATAAAACATGGCATATCAGTTTTCAGTAAGACTAAACACCTCTCCACACATTAAGGCTGGGCAAGGCAACCAACCCAGTATGAGGAACAGGGTCTTTGGTGCCTGTGACTAGATTAGCGCCTGGCCCAACTGCCATTAGAGGCATCATCTAGCAAATGATGGAGGCAGATGCAGAGACCCACAACCAAACATTAGGTTGAGTTGGAGAATCTTACAAAGGAGAAAGAGAAACGAGTGTGGGAGTGTGAGGGGCCAAGGACACCATGAGAAGGCCCATCACCTAGCCTGGGCTCATAGAGGTTCACTAAGACGGAACCAACAACCAGAGACCCTGCATGGGACTGACTTAGGCCCTCTGCAAATATGTTACACTTGTGTAGCTTGGTGTTCTTGTGGGACTCCTAACAGTGGGAATAGGGGCTGCCTCTGGCTCTTTTAAGAAAAAAAAGATTTTATAAATTAATATTTGTAGTTTTATTTTAAAACAATCATTAACATAATTAATATTAATAATATAAAAATTATATAAATAATTGGTTATTCATTGCTTTCAATACTGAAATCATAAATCATTATGTCACATATGTTCAAGAATTACAGTCTGCATCCAGATTCCTCAGTCCTTGGATGGGGTTTATTGCACAACTATTAGGGTGTTTGGCCATCCCATAACCAGAGTAGGTCAGTCCCGGCTGTCTCTCGGCCACTGACAGCAGTCTTTTGTGGGGGTATCTTTGTGGATTTCTGTGGGCCTCTTTAGCTCTTTGTTTCTTCCTTTTCTCATGTGGTCTTCATTTACCATGGTCTCCTATTCCTTGTTCTTCCTCTCTTTTCTTGATCCAGCTAGGATCTCCTGCTCTCTTTCCCTCGACCCTCGCCCTTCATTGCTTCCACTCATGTCCAGGCTGTTCATGTAGATCTCATCCATTTCTCCATGTCTTTCTTGGGGTCCCGTTTTCCAGGTAGCCTCACTGGTGATGTGAGTAGCAGTCCAGTCATCCTTGTTCCACATCTAGCATCTTCCTATGAGTGA